TCACCACCCCAGTATTCTCACCACTTCCAAATTCTGCATGCTACTACAAAACTACAACACTAAAGAACTCTTTTTTTCGAAAAACGACACCCACCACCCCATAGTCCCTGACGCGCGCAGGCGGGGCGATGGGTCGCGCTCATTTTTTTCGTGCCGCGTGGCGCGTTTGAACGCGTTTGAACGCGGTACCCGTGTGTTTGAACACGCGCGTTCGAATGCGAACGCGCGTTCACCGCGTTCAGACAGTTACACAGGGGGTGGCAGGGGCACTGGCAGGTTCATTACAAATTTTTGGGCAGAGAAAACAGGAGAAAAGAACAAGGAAAAAGCAGAGATGCCCTGAAATCACAGAGCTTTGCTTCCCAGTACAACAGATCACGAATGATCTGATGGCAGAAGTCCCTAGTACAACAGTGAAAAACATAACCGCCAGTTTTGTGAATGAGAAAAGAGTTTTCTGTCAGCAGTAATCATGACGCCCTCCATACACTCCGTGATTTTGAGGAGTGCTTCGAACGCATGAGATTATTCCACCAAAGTTGGAAAACTACTCAAAATATTTTATCCCAGGGTCCCAGGGGGTATGCCCAACCCCACCTCTCGTTGGGGGTGGGAAATACCCCCATGGGATAGAGAAACTTTTGGCGGGAAACTCCCTTCACTCCGGGTATTTTCCTGCTTTTGTTTGTTTTGTGGCTTTGGCACTAGACCTTGTTTAGAGAATGAAAGTTGGCCATTGGACCTGCATGTAGACACCCGTGGATTGGAATACAAGCACAACACATTCGGCATATGCATATACAGACTGTGCATGAGGCTAGCCTGGCTAGGGCCTTGAACCATACAGATGGCATAGTACAACTACGGGGAGGAACCCCGACATAGAGTACAGATTACACAGTAGGATGCAAACTAGTATAACTGACGAGCAGATGGAGAAAATAAGATATGTATATGTCTGTAAGGCAGAAGAGGCAGTGCTTAGGGTAGAGCTCTCACAGGCTCGACCTTAGACTCCGGACCATTAGACACTGGTCACACTGCCTATAGGGGGATCAAGCTCTACGTATGGGCCCCTGGATGGGGGGCATACTCTACGCTCTACTCACAATACCAATAGACTCCGAGGCAAAAATGGATTCACGCCTAGTGTCCGGAGTCCCCGTGCGACAACGTTCGTTCCACTACACTTTAATCAGGATGGGCATGTCCCGCTCAAAATTAGCGAAGTAGAAGGGATCAACCCATTCCTATTTAGTTAAAAAAACATTCCATTTCCCGGGACCATCGCATCACGGGATGACCTAAATCGAGCCCCAATGAAATGGGTATGGCAAACTTGCAACGAGGGAAGACCACGCGTTCTGCAGTCCCTTACGGTCAAGGCAACTTACCGAGTGCTCAGGCCTAGGGTGAACATTTTAGCAGTCCTGCAGAAACGATGGTCTCGTCATCTGAATGTCGAGATGCAACTCCTGACGAATGTCAATTTTCTAGAGTATCTAAAACAAAGACCAGGTAAGTTTGCGTCCCTCCAATGACAGATAGCTAATCATTGCTTACCTGCGAATTACAGGCTTGTTGACTATTCGACCCTACAACAACAGGGGTTAGCTTCGCCTTCAAGTTGTTGTCCTTTCTGTCTATCTGCATTCCCCTCTAGAAAGTTTCGAGAGACCATTGAACACATTTTCTTGCAGTGTCCACGCTCGGTCTTACTCTGGAGGAGATGGGACTATATTTGGAGAGAACTGGCAGGGGAGCTTATTTATCCTTATGAAACCTAACTCTAAATTGTCTATATTGCAACTCTGCGGCGAGCGTCCAGAGGCTCGCTAGAGGCCTTCGTCGGCTCTCGCAAGAGTCGAGGTCATGCCTGAAAGCAGCACGCGAAAGTCGAAGAACGGCTTTGATGAAGCAGATACTACCTTTTCCCCTGTTATGATACCGAAAATCGCACAATGCAAAACTCGTAGAGAGAGAATGTCATTCAATGGCAACTCAAATGAAAGAGATTGGAAAGAGAAAGAGAGAAAGGGAGGAGAAGAATGAAGAGTGGAAGAAGAAGAAGAAGAAGAAGATGAACACAAGCTGGAACCAGCATCACTGAGTCTCCTCCCTCATCTCGATACCATCTCTCTCCCCCATCGTCTCTTTCAACATCTTATTAATATAGACAATAACAAGTAATGAATGGGCCAGAATCAGATGTCCAGATTCTCCTCTTTACGACTGACCTCACAAGAAGTACCTCCTACACTTCCTACCACTACTTGGTTGAGCATCCGGCTATGGCAGCTCATCCAGGACTAGCTCAGATGTTCAGAAGGACAACGCAGAGCTCTTATGGCTCCTCCCATTTCTACCACCAGGAGTCCTCCATACATCAGAACCCCATCCAGGAACCAGGCCTGGGACCTTCTAGGTGCAGTGCCAAGTTCCCAACCAAGGAGATGAAGTTGCAGTCCACCATACCCGCCAAGGTAAGCCTTCCCCTTCACTCTCCTCCTGCTTCCTCCCTCACTTCTCCTCGATAGCCATGCCCTTCTCGGACCTTGCCTTAGCTCTAAACATCATAGCCAAGGTGGGCGGAGCTCCACCTTGCTCTTGCTGCTGCTTGGCGCTTCGCTCACCAAGCTCACTGTCCAACAGTTTCGCTTCCTGGCTACTCGGAGAATAAGGAAGATCAACTCACCTCTCTTCCTCATATACTTTGGCCGCTGCCCCCGCCCACTCTGCGCCGTCCCAAGCAGCATGGCCTCCAAGCCCTGCGCGTTCCCTTCCTTCTTTGCGGGAACATCATCGCAGTCTGATATCCTACTAGCAGGCCCTAGACTTAATAGACCCTTTTCAGGTCGGCAACGTCCAGAACCTACCCCTAGACCTATCGGGCCTAAGGGCACTACTTCGGCCTAAGTACCCAAAGGTACTACCTTTTTGTCCTTTTCTGCCTACTAGTACCCACTGCTACTTGATTTTGGCTAATGAGGGCCTACCTCCCCCTCTCAGCTACCGTCAACAAATCCACACACGACATAGGGCTAGTACCAGGCCTGTGGCCCACATCACACACAAGCCCAAACACCCAGCAGCACACACCAACACACCAACACACACACACACACACACACACACACACACACACACATGCACACACACATAGACATAGGCACTCAGACAACCACACAGCACAGAGATAACAACCATCAAAACACGGAAACAGATTTCATAATAAAAAATCATTCCAACATTAAAATTACTATTCCATCCTAACAAATTAAAAAATATCATTCCACTTTTAAAATTCTTTCGTCTTACTTGGAAACTTTCCTTCGAAAAATGGGGCTATCCCTTCTTGTTTGAACTGCATGCTAGAGATGGAATGAAGCTGAGGTCTGGATGAGTTCATGAAATATTTTAATGGGACTGTCATTCTATTTATAGCAAGTTGCAGTCAAAAATGGTTTAATCCAATCTAAATAAGAAGATATTTGTTGTAAGCTTAAACAAGAATGAAAGTCTAATGAGCATACTTCATAAACACATCTCGACTTTCATTGTGTCTCCAAAAAGTAGATGTATTACAGTAAATTCGAAGGGAAAACTCATTTTTAGATGGAAACTTGTCAAATAGAACTAGCGTCTTCACCCGAATATCACGCCCGGGGTTATTATAGCTGTATTTGGGGCATTTTTCAGTTCAGATGCACTGATAATGAGCGAGCGTTCTATTCGGGTGAAGACGGTAGAGAATTTTAGAGTTGGAATTTGGTAGACAACTTTCTACTTTTTAATAACATTTTTTTAAATATGAAGGATTTTTTTTTTTAACGGAATATTTTTTTTATCTTTCATTTATTGTGGTAATTTTCGGTTCTCAGCAAACACGCGGAACGGCGGCGAAAACACGGAACAACACAAGATTCAAAGTCTTGCAATTTTGCAGGTTATTACACACACAAAAAAAAATCACAAAAAATGACCTGATTCGATTTCGTTGTATAATTATTGTAAAATATTTTTATTTCACTGCTATCCTAGCTTTACTCTTTTGTTTAAAATGATTTCATCATTGTTATGACAAGGAGGAGGGGGAGGAGGAGGAGGAGGAGAAAATTCTGAACATCATGTATTCCCAACTGGCAGGCTATCATGAGGGCGATGAGATTTGTCTGGTAAAGTCTTATGGCATTCATTTCCCGGCGGGATGCAGCTACATCTCCATATCACCACAGTTTAACGGTAAGCATGTCCGTGTGAGGAACCTTTAAAAAAAAGATAAAAACAAACAATTTGTGTGCTCTCTAAAGGAAATGATCACCACATTTCTCTCTCTCTCTCTCTCTCTCTCTCTCTCTCTCTCTCTCTCTCTCTCTCTCTCTCTCTCTCTCTCTCTCTCTCTCTCTCTGTGTGTGTGTGTGTGTGTGTGTGTGTTGCCCTACCTTACCTCATCATAACCCTAACCTATCTATCATATCTATGTATATATCGTCAGACAGAGCTGCCAACGGTAAACCGTAGGGGCAGAGAGGGAGGGGGAGAAGAGGACAACAAGCGAGGGGCTGTGACAAACTGTTTTGTCGGAGTTTCATATATGAAAAGCTAGTATGTGCAGACATTCTCACGTGCCAGTGCAAAAAGACACACACACACACACACACACACACACACACACACACTCACTTCACTCAGGAAAGTGTCCATGCACGTTCATGATGTGCCTACACACGCACCATCCAGGCAGTGTTCTCTCATATGTGTGGCTTGGGGTGCGAGGAACGCTTTATCCCAAAAAGCAGGGATCGCTTTGGTGATTCACTCGGGGTCTGTTTGTGGGCAGGAAGGCACACAGAAGCATTCGCACCCCGTCGTGGTTGTGTACACTGTACACAGCAGGGCCAACTTTAAGAACCGACTTTCAAAGGCTCACAGCTTTAGCGACCACAAGGGGGCTGCCGGGGCGGAGGGGGCTGCAGGGGGCGTGGGGAAAGGGGATCATTTCGATGTCTGTATTTTCATGCGAGTACACATGACATTGTGGGCTGGTGTACACAAATGCACATGTCTGATTACAGATAGTCACACATGCCTACATTCACCCCCCCCCCATACACACACCATCACACATGTTCTATAACGAACTTTTGTAGGGAGGATCTGTGTGTTCGTGCATGCAGGGGTGCAAGACCGATGCTGCTTTTCATGCAAGCGTAGATGGGGGCGGGGGGGCGCAATACTCGCGCATTGCTGTTTCTAATGATTGATTAGGCATGCTGTGCAATACGTAGGGAGAATGCGCTCTAATGAACAGAAGCAGCAATGCGCACCATTGAGCTACAATGCCGACAAGTCACATCAATCCCAATCTTAAAATCATAACGGGTGGTCTTGAGAGAACCAGGTAGCTGAAAACAGGGGGGGGGGAAGAAAAGAAACAAGAGAACAAAGGACCCCCTCAGGAGTTCATGACCCCATGCAACTATATGCAGGTAGCAATTTCTGTAGTGGGGGGAATATGACACAGACATGCATGCACAGATATACAAGAAGCCGCCCATTTCATAATTATTGTCTTTCAGTAAATTACGAGATGGATATGTGCTAACATAAACATATCACCATGGATGTCTTTGTACATTCATATGAGACTGCCTACTTGACCTCTGTCTCTGTGTGTCTGTGTGTCTGTGTCTGTGTGTCGCTGTGTGTGTGCGTGTGTGTGTGTGTGTGTGTGTGTGTGTGTGTGGTGTGTGTGTGTGTGTGTGTGTGTGTGTTAAAAAAAAAAAAAACACCCTCTCTCATTCCATCCACGAATCATCACAAATGATCCATAAAACAAATGCAGGTATAGATTGGCAATGCAGTAAAAGATGCACGGTTGGCCACTGCAATCCTAGCACGTGCTGCTCCCCACGAATAGACTGGAGCATTTTTTTTTTTTTATTATTTTTTTTTTTTAAAAAGTCCTAGCAGACTGTCGCTCCAAACCCCTGACAAGAACGGAAGTAAGTCTGGGGAACTAATCTGTGGCAGCAACTCAGCCATGGATGTGTGTCTTCTGTGTGTCTTGTGTTGTGTGTGTGTGGTGTGTGTGTGGTGTGTGTGTGGTGTGTGTGTTGTGTGTGTGTGTTGTGTGTGTTGTGTGTGTTGTGTGTGTGTCTGTTTTCTGTGTTGTGTGTCGTGTGAGTGTGCATGTTTGTGTGTATTCATGTGTGCATGTGCGGCCTGGTCCAATGTGGGTGGCACTGTGTGGGTGAGTGTCTAATTCATCCCAGACCGTACTTTTCCGCGTCGCTTGGTATACAAGATCTGGCCATCACCAATCTGTCTGACGGGCTCTGACCGTACATGTTCCTATGAGTGAAACATTTCCGCAGTTTTTGTCCGTAGTAAACTCGGTACAAACTACACACACACACACACAACACACAACACACAATGTCATATGCATATATAATGGACAGAAACAGACAACACATAGGGATAAGGCATATTAAACAAGAAACACAAGAGTAGTGAAAGACTCTTTCGTCGGCGTCTCACCAACTTCAGGAAGGCCGGACCCTCGACAGTCTGCAGGATCCCCTCACAATGCCTTGTCAATGAGTCATAAACGGCTTCAAACTGTGTTCCGAAAGGGAACACACAGCAGCAAAGCGACCAGCACCGCATAAACAAGGCAAATAGCAAAGCATAGTGTGCAGCAAGGCAAGCAGGTGTGTAATTTGGCAGGAGGGCGGGCACACCAACGGCACAGCAAGACAATCAACACAGTAGCACTGGGCAGCACGTAGCAAGGCAAGCGGGGCGCGTGGGGGGAAGAATATGTAGACTGTAACAAGTATGATTGTCTGCGTCTGTGTAGTGGAGCGCCACAGAGAGAGAGAGACAGAGAGAGACAGAGAGAGAGAGAGAGAGAGAGAGAGAGAGAGAGAGAGAGAGAGAGAGAGAGAGAGGTCATCCATTTCGCACCACTGAAGACTTAATTTTGTTGACTAAGCTTTTCTGTCTCCTGTATTCTCCCTGTCCTTTTGTGATCCCTCTCTTTTCTTGAAATGCTGATTTTGAAACTATTTATAATTTGATATCCACATATTAATGAAATCATCTTTGGCCTCTCTGTTTTTTCTGCAGAGTACGCAAAATACCATTGGGCAATGTTCCGCAAATCCAGTGCGCAGCTGAAACTTGTCCATGGGATCGAGCGTTCTAAGATGTCGACCGGATTTATGGGCATAGTGCTCGCACTCCATGTCTGCAAGAAGGTATAGCCTCTCATTAAATTACGGTTTTCTTGTCTCATTCATCTTTTATCACCGGGTGCCAGACTTGCCTGTCCATAGGTCTCAAGAGTCTCAAAAGCCTCTACAAGTGGTCTCAAGAGTCTCAAAAGACTTGCCCCTCTTTACAAATCTCACACTAGGAATTCTTGGACTGAGTGTGGACGTCATTACCTTCGTCTGCATCCCCCCTGGGCGTAATTTCGATCAGATCCACTTAAGTCAATCCTAGGGTGAGTATGGCCTCCAGCCCTCTAAACTAGCCATTGATCCTTTTTCAGTGCAGCTCTGGTTTCGCTGCATAAATATTGTCAGACCTAATATGTGAGTATGGCCTCAAGCCCTCAAAACCAGGGAACAAAAGGACGCACTGACACAGCCTGTGTGTCTTGTGAATATGGCCTCAAGCTCTGACACAGACTGACACTGTTTTGTCAGACCTAAAATGTGGGTGTGTTCACTGTATTGTTCTCAGGCCTATGTGTGGGGGTGTGTTTTGCATTTTCCCCGCTGCCCTATTCCACCCAGATGAGTAGAACTTGAACCGAAATCGACGCAGCTTTAGTCCTATTGCAGACAATAGGAAGCACACTGGAGTTGAGACATTCCAAAAAAAAAAGAAGACAGTTGTTTAACTTGTTTTACCTCTATAGCAAGCAACGTGGAGCTGCATTGGAGCACAATAACCCCCCCTTTGTCGTTCAGCTATTATCTGTCATGTAAAGACAAACATGTGTGCAGTGTGCGCCCACATCGTCCGACCTGCTCCACAAAGTACCACTCAATACCGCCCTCATGTGCGCACATCGTACGCAATACCCACACCACAGCGTTCCCATAGTGTGGATATTGGGTACGATGTGGGTATTGGGTACGATGTGTGCACATCGTACCCAATACCCATACCCACACCACAGCGTACGGCCCCATACACATAGAAAATGATAGCACCCAACCTGCAGACTAGCAGCCAGTGCACGTGGTGCCAAGCCCACATACCACGCAGCGCACTTTCTTTACCTTTTTTCTTTTCTAATTATAGTCTAAGGCGCCTGTACAGTGGGCCCACCCTGCATAGTACCGCCGAGTGCGCACAGTACTCAACGTGCATGGTATCACCACATGCACACAGCCCCCAGCCTATCCATACAGCCACTCAGTGCACATAGCACCGGGCTGCTATGCACATACTATGTGTGCTGGGTGCTATGTGACCCTATGTATACTGCCAACCCGTGCACGTAGCACCGACTGCTATGCACATACTATGTGTCTGGGTGCTACATGAGCCATGCACGTACTATGTGTGATGGGTGCTATGTGAGCCTATCTATACGGCCACCCAGTGCACATAGCACCGAGCTGCTATGCACATACTATGTGTGCTGGGTGCTACGTGAGCCTATCTATAGTGCCACCCAGAGCACATTGCACGGAGCTGCTATGCACATAGTATGTGTGCTGGGTGCTATGTGAACCTATCCATACTGCCACCTAGTGCACATAGCACCAAGCCCATCCATAGTGCTAGCCAACTCACATAGCGCCCAGCACACGTAGTACCACCCACCTGAAGCACATATCAGCCAGCCCGCTCAACATACCAGCCAGGCCTAGATTTTCAGGGTTTTTTCATGGTCTTTATAGAAACACTCCCACACCTTTTGAAACAGACTTGTGACCAATCCATAGAGTGGACAATGGAATAAACCAGAAGCAAAACAAGAGAGAGAGAGAGAGAGAGAGAGAGAGAGAGANAGAGAGAGGGACTCCCTGTTTTCAGTGTTTTGTTGGACTCTCACCAACGCATCAGGAGGTTGAACCCCAGGATGCAAAAAAAAAAAAAAAAAAAAAAAGAAGAAGAAGAAGAAGAATGCATTTCACCATGATTGGGGCTCACCTCGTCCCCCAGAGTTAGCAATACCCCTGAGAAAAGTGGTTGGTTTTATGTGCGTCATGTGAATGTCCCATGTGCGCAGGTGGACATTTATGGATTCTCGCAAGGAACAGGTTACTACTACAAAAGAGGGTAAGTAGAAAAAAATTAGAAGGAAAAAAAAAAAAAAAAACATTCCAAACAGTGGCAAACACTGTACAAGTGTAAACTACTAAACTTTTATTTTTGTTTCGGGAAGGAGATGTACAATTTATTCATTTTTTAAAACCAGGGAACAAAAGGACGCACTGACACAGCTGTTTGAACTCTTTTTTTTGGGGGGGGTGGGACCATTGTTCGATTTACGTGTGCCGTCCTCGTGCAGGGGTCATGCTAATCTTCTCGGTAGCATTCCAAGTTAATGAATATCCCGAAGGACTATGTTAACCTTTTTCACTTTTTACCTATACCCCAGGCTGTTTTCACAGGCACCCGCGTACCCAACTTGTGCCCAGATACACATCCGGGTGCCCAGCTGGGGATGACACCCCCGGGGCAGGGTTCCGGAACTTCCGGGCAGCCCAAGCGCCAAAAAATAAAATTCAAAAAATTCAAAAAATTCCACGGAAACAAACATGTTGTGCCAAAAATAACAGAATCACACTAAGGCACCCCCCTTAAAACCCCATTAGCCCCTTTAAAGCACCAGTACACGGCTACTGGGGCCGCGGGCCTGAAAACTTGAATTCCGGAGGCACAAAACAAAAAAGTGACTGCCGATCCAATATATCAGCATCAGCAGCAGGCCCAGCGTTTGACGTTTCGGCCTCATTTTCTTGTGGCAACAAGTTTTGAAGTGCAAGGCTGGGGCCGTGTACTAGAGTTTAAAACCAATTTATTTATACCCCCCTTCCGCCCCTTTTGGACTGCAAGGCTGGGACCATGTACTAGCGGTTTAAAACCAATTTATACCCCCCTTCCGCCCCCTTTTACAGCCAACTCTCAAAAATAGAAAAGAGACCGGATTTGGAGTCCTCTGGGATAGTGCAGAGAACCCCCCCCCAAAAAAACACGCGACTTTTTTTGCAGGCCCGGGTGCCCGGCCAGGCCTGACAATCTTCCTAGCCTATCCCCAGTTCCTTTTTTTGTTAACTTTACCCAGTTTCATCTTTGCATGAAACCGCTTTTCCTTTCTCACCACCTCAAACGAAAAGGCCTCCCCCTTTTTCTTTTTTTTTCACCTTCAACATCCAAAAACCTCTCTCTCTCTCTCTCTCTCTCTCTCTCTCTCTCTCTCTCTCTCTCTGACGTGGACCATCATCCTCTCTTCTTATGTGCAAATTTTGTATCCTGTTCTGTTTGCTTTGCAGGAAATCACGGTCGATGATAATCTGGGAGAACAGGCATCCGTGGAAGCTCGAGGGCAACTGTCTCAGCAAACTATCTAGGCATCCTGGCGTAAAGTGGCACAATTAAATTTTAATTAATTAACTAATTATTCATATTAATATTACTACTGAATTAAATTATCAAGTGGCGGTACACTGTTATGAACTCTTGAAGTGGGCGCTACTGGCAGCAAAGAACGGTTCGGTTCCAATCCATCCATCAGGTGACACAGTGACAAGGAAAAAAAAAGAAGAAAAAAAAAAAAAAACAGACGATCAACACGTGGCAGGTAGAATTTTACATGCGTATGTAGGGACTGTATGGGGACAGCCTCTAAGTTTCAGATTTCAATCATGTGCTAAGTTGCAGATTGATGATTTGGGTTTTTTGACTTTTTTCACTCTTTTTCAAATCTTCTTCTGTTTTTTTTGCAAATTCTTTGCGGATTTTTTTCCCGATTCAGAGTTTGCTGAGATTTCTTCGCTGCGAAAAGTCTGGGGAGAAAATTTGAAGGTCTGCTCGTGGAATGTTCCACATTCCAGTTTACACTTATTTAAAAAAAAAAAAAAAAAAAAAAAAAAAAAAAAAAAGGCAGATACTACATTTCCCCTTAGCCGAAAGGCCAAGAAAGGTATAGTCAATGTCTTTTTGGGTCCGTGCTCCAGCTTGAATTAAAAAAAAAAAAAAAAAAAGTGTCGGTTTGTTCAATTTGCTTTCGGGGCTATAAAACTGGTTCGGGAAGGGGTTTGGTATCGCACCAAGAACAGGGTTAAAAAAAGGGACAGAAAGAGAGGAATCGTTCAGGGCCAAATTAGCAAAACTCATCCACGGGAGGAAGGCAATTAGAGAACTACCTATCCTTGATCTCTTTTGGTCAGGCCGATATATTCAATCAGGGGGACAAACCCGGTCTGAGCACTAGACTCAGTCGTCAAATGTGTTGCGAAATGTACGCCCAGAAAAAAGCACTCTCTACCTTAGGCTCTCAACGCTGTCACTAACCCTTTTTTTTTTTTTTGTGGTTCTGTTTCTGTTTTTATTTTTTTGGGTTTAAAACTTTAAAGTTAACAAAAACTTTAAAATGTCAAATGATCTCAAATCCATTAAAAGCTGGGAACCGGGCCCAGCGTCCCTCACAACAGTTTCTGTTCGGTATCACTACCTTTTTCTTGGTTCTTTTTAAGAACGGGAGCAGGAGGGGGTGTCATCACTAACTTTCAACGAGGTGCTCCGTCGGTATTCATCAGGTCGAATGCATCCTTGGCAGGGAAAAAAACAAAAAAGAACAAAGAAAAACAAAAACAAAAGTACAACAAGACAGTCTGTGACAGCCGCCCTTTTTCTGTTTAGCAAATACATAACACACACATCTGCAGGATTTCAAAATTCAAATTGAATCATCTCAACACCTTAAAATTTCATTTCATTTCAAACGTCACAAAACAGAGGAACAGAAAGCGACAGGGCAATTTCTGATGAAGGGAGAGATGGTACAAAAGTTTCCCATTGAGCATTCACTACCAGAGTGCCGACAAAGGTCGCAGATGCTCATCTGAGATTTTTTTGTCCCAGATGAGCAGCCATCTTTTAGAAGTCTAGCGAGTGACTGTCAGTGACTCTCAGTGACTGTCAGTGACTGGTGCAGTGAGCAGCACACGTTGATTGATTGCTGCAGTAAATTGGAGCACCATTGGCCAACCCTTTGTCCCAACACCTTTTTCCCCCGAAATATATTGAAAGTCTTTGTGGCCAACACAGTAACACCTGATTAAGACTTCAAACACACACAATCAATTTTTCTGCATGCCTTCCTTTCCGGTTTCTTTTTGTGTTGCCTCCCTTTCGGTATGTATCCTTCTTCCTGTGTTTTCTAAGTACTTTCTGGCTGTCTAATTGAGCACCCTCAGGTAGTGCCAAATAGTCGATAACACACACACACACACACACACACACACACACACACACACACACACACACAATCAGTTTTCTGCATGCCTTCCTTTCTGGTTTACTTTTGTGTTTCTTCCCTTTCGGTGTGTATCCTTCTTCCTGTGTTTTCTAAGTACTTTCTGGCTGTCTAATTGAGCACCCTCAGATAGTGCCAAATAGTCAATCATTCCTTCTTTGGAGTGCCTACAACACTATTAGAGGGGCTTCTCTATTCGGGATGACTGTGTGTTCCAAGGGACAGGTGTTCGTCGGAGTGTCTCTCCGGCTCAGCAGGTGGTGGGAGCCAACAGTCTGCGGGGTTCACTTGTGATGTGAGTAGGTGATGTGGCGCTTTGCTCTGTGTTGGATGTGTGGACTGCCTCGTCTGCGCTCCACCACTGCCTTGCTGCCCGTCCCACTTGCATCGCATGTCCTTATTTGCAAGCTGGTGTGTTCACTGTGTGGTGTAGCTGCGATGTTGGTGTTGCCCTGTGCTTCGCTGCACTGCTGCCTTGCTGCCCATCTGCCTGCCTTGCCGCCCGCGGCCCTTGCTTGTGTGCCGTGTAGTGTGGCTTCTGTGTTGGTGTTGCTTTGTGCTTCACTGCGCTGTTGCCATACTGCTCATCCACTTTACCTGTCGTTCCCTGCAGTTGTTTTGGGCATTGAGCAGTTGCGTTGCTTTGGCAGCGTCCCCTGGTGCTTCATTGAATTGTTGCCTGCTGTTGTGTTTCGCTGGCGGACAGTCTGCCTTCAACTAGGATCTTTTTTTTTTTTTTTTTTTGGCCTTCAACAAGGATCAAAGGGTTTCATGACCCAAATCACCAATACCAGGATTCCGCAGATTGTCAAAGGTTCAGCCTCCTGACGAGTCCGTGCAAGTCCGACGAAACAGTCGGTTATCATCAATTCTTTTTTGTTCTTTTTTCGCGCTTTGCTTTTCCAGCTTACCACTCGTACTTTGTGCGTTTTCCCTTGCTGTTCTGTGCTGTTTGTTCTGCCCACCCGCCTTCCCCATATCCTCCACCCTATGTACCTTGCAGCCACTTGTTTTCCAAATTGAATGTCTTGTTGCCTCGCCGCTGTTCACCTCACTGTGTTTTGCCTTAGTGGCCTTTACATGACATTCCATGGGCATCTGTGATAGGCAAAAGAGGACATCCCACTCTCTTGAGCCATGACGGGAGCAAGCTCCGAAAAGCGCTTTAGGGGATATATGTGTCATCCATCCTCCATTTGTCACTACACCAACGCCTCTTCCATTGGTTACCTTACCATACCAACGTCTCCTCCATTGGCTACTACACCAACGTCGATGGCTGTGCCATCATTGCTCCCCATTCCTCTTCTCTCCTCCATCTCATGCATGCAACAATGTAATCACAACTTTCACAAGTGTAAGTTCTTAATGGTATGATGCTGATTCATTCCCTGCAATGGGGTTGCAGTTACACACCAAAGTCTGACGAAACAGTCTCTCTGGCACAGTCATGCTTTTTTTCAGTGTATAGTGAATATGACAACACACACACACACACACACACACACACACACACACACACACACACACACATATCTTGTATACAAATAATTTACATCCATAGAGAATACAATCTTATTTGGGTTAATAGAATTAATTAAAATTCTACAATAATTGATTCTATTCAATCTAGAATAATCAATGTCACAATCACAATATNTTTTACTTAGTGAATATGACAACACACACACACACACACACACACACACACAAACACACACACACACACACACACACACACACACACACACACACACACACACACGGGTTGCGGTTACGCACACACAAGACACACAGAGTATGCAGGTCCAACAGGGTAACGTAACTAATGTGTGTCCTCTCATTTCTTCTTTCTTGCCAGTCAAACAAGATCACGAGAAACCAAACTTGGCAATGAAAAAAACTTCAAAAAAGAAAAGAGGACAATCATCAAACAACCATACCAATCCGTCTTCGATGCACTCTCCGCTCCCCATCCATGGGATCTTTCGACACTGCGGGCTGCACCAGCATACAAAAAAAAAGAATTGACTGATTCTCTCCCAAATTTCAGAGGATTACCAAACCTATCATTCATGTCCCAAGGGCCAAGAGTCCCAAGACCAAGGGTTCCAAGTCCCAACAAATATCCACCCCCTCCTAAATGGCATGAAATTCAGGAGGGAGTGGGTATGTGTTCGAATTTGGAACCCTTGGTCTTGGGACATGACTGACAGGTCCAAATACCCTACTAGAACTCCATGCCTTCTTACGACGCAGCGCATACTTGAAATATAGAGTACCCTTTCCAGGACTTTACTTATAATTTTTTGGCGGGCCGAGTCACACTAAAAAAAGGCGCGCCCAGTCGCTCTTTCGAGCACTCTACCCATTTGCCGAACACGTTTCTCCACCCATCCAATGTCAGCACGATGTCCAGGAGTGGCGGGTGGTATTACCCACTACAGATCTGTGAAATAGGCAAAATTGTGTGTCGCGCACAGTGTGTGACTCGCCTGCCTCCCAAAAAACGGAAATCTGCATTGGGGCTTGACTTCGTCCTTTCTGAAAACCGACCAAATGCAAACGTTCGCCGGCTGGTGAAACCCAGTTGGCCAAAAATGCCAGCTCTCTATTTTTTGGCCTGGATCCCAAAACACACAAACTTGTGAGCATAACGATGCTAGTCTGAGCATTCATGCCTTTACCATCAGCCTCCACTCCTCCAAATGCAGATCAAGATAATGTTTTCGAAGTACTTTCTGGCTGTCTAATTGAGCACCCTCAGACAGTGCCAAATAGTCAATCATTCCTTCTTTGGAGTGCCTACAACACTATTAGAGGGGCTTCTCTATTCGGAATTACAAATGTATACAACTACTGTACAACACCCAATGGGCCTGAACTCTTCTTGCAGCAGTGTCAGCGGCCTGAACGAGGCTCAAAACACCGGCACAAAGAAACAAGCAAAAGGGGGGGGGAGGGGGAGAGGGGGACATAAAAAGACAACAGGCAAGCGTATTATACTCACCAATGCGAAGGCCAGGTCATGTCAGATCAGAAAAGAAACTGAAGAAAGCAAATTGACAATTTGTTCTGCAAATTTTTATTCCAATTTCAGAAACAGACTCTTATAATGATGAATGGCTGCATTGATGGTGGCCATATCCTTCCAGCTCATGGGGAAATGATGAACGGACAACCTCTTAATTCTCAAGCCTCTTCTTTCTTGCTTTTTTCTTAGGGGGAAATAAACTCTGAAGAGTCTGAACTGAAGCCACAAGCCAATTTCAGCTTTTGCAGTCTACCTCCCTTTCTCCCACACTTGGAAGAATTAAGTCACTTGGAGATTTTATGCCGTGTTGACACCACTTTGCACCTCCCCACTCCCTCCTACAGTCCTCCACCCCCCCCTCCCCTCCTATCAATTTTGTTCCTTTCCACATTGTCTTCCCCCTCCCCCCCCCAATTAACACCCTCGTGTACTTCTCCCCACTTCCTCCCCCCCCCCAACCAACCCCGAACCACACATGCACTCCCAAAGTGCATCTGAACCATCCCTGCTTTTTGGCGAGATCCTGTGCATTTTTGAAAGCGATGTAACTTCGGCGAGAGGAACGCTCAAGCTCAAGCAACATTCCTTACCCTCTGGACATAGCAGGAGCACGCACGGTTATCTCCTCGACCAACAAAAACAACAATTGGCCTGCTCTCCTCAATGCCATCTGCGCCACCATTTACTTGAACCGAGAGCCTCGATCAAGTTACCCTCTGAACTGCAAAATGCATGAAACCGACTTTTCGTCAAACTGACCACACTTACAGTCAAACTAGCCACACTTTCAGTCAAACTAGCCACACATCTGGTCAAACTAGCGACACCCACTGGCACACGGTTGCAGAGCATGAAGCCCTGACATCTCCTCTGTACAGCAAACTGGCACCCTAGTTGTCCCAGCACCAGTTCTCTGCAGGCACCCTTCACGCAGCAGGGGCGCAGACACGACCGAGTCGAGCAAGACGATTAACACGACAATACAACTACCTTTCCTTCTCATCAAACTTGTCTCCGCAACACATCCACCGTCTCAAAAATGCCCTTCACTTAGTCCTTCCAATTTCCGAGCCTATACCACCTATAGGAAAATTGCTAATCACTGCTAACAGATGTGGGGTTTCTTAGCAAAACCACACTGCAAAGCACCACCACCCTACACACTCCCGAGTTCGAACCCTCGTCTCGCATATCCGACAGCGTTTACAACCACTGTGTGTGCCACCAAGTCCCACCGTCTCCCCATTGCTGCCCTCCCCTCCTTCCCTCCTTTCCCTCTTTTCACACAACTATCGTCCACCTACCTACTCCTCTCTCGCTAAACTACACCCACACCACCGAACGCCTAAGAATTATGACAACTGGTTAACAAAGAGAGTTAAAAAGAATCCGTTATCTGTTGTTTTCAACAATTACAGATAGAGAGAACGACAGCTGGTAAAACCTACCCCAATGGTTGTCCTGCTTCGTCCGCATCCACCTCCACGACCACTAACCTCCCTCGCTGCCAGCGCTTGACCTTCACTCTTTGCCTTGATATGCTATCTGCAGCTTTGTCCTTCAGTCGTATTCCGACAGCATTGGATTCGGATGCGTCTCGAACTCGCACTTCAGCGATGCTACTGCTTTCTCTCATTCCTTTCAAGGAGGAAGAAATGTCAATCTCCCCTAGCGCTCCCTCACCGACCTGTGGACAAGCCCCTCTACTACTTTGGGCTACTGTATTGGGCGCAGAGGAAAATCCGAGGGAGGCCTTACCGATACCCGTAGACATCCCCACAAAGCTGCCCATGCGTCCGTCCCCTGGCCTGCCTGCGCCAGCCGCTTCCTCTTCCAGCAAATCTGACCATCGCATCTCTAGTGTCCCTTCAATTGTGCTCCTCTCCCTTACCCTCTCCGTCAAAGAGGAAGACGACGGAGAAGATGAACGCCCTTCCGCCGAGTCCGCAGCTCCGAAACCCCTCTCTTCAGGAGGGAAACCATTAACAGCGCAGCCATTACTGCTGCCAACTCCTCCCGCCTCATTGGTGCAATCACCACCGCGACTTTTCTGCGGCCAACCGTTGACCGTTCCCAGCTTTCCTTGCTCCCGAGTCCCATTTACGTTCTTCCCCGGCACTAGGCCATTGACATTTCCGTTGAGGGCTCCACCGAGCCCCCCCAATGACGGGATCCATTCCCTCTCATCTTCCAATCTCCCCCAAGCACTCTCATCTCTGCCATCTGACGAAAGCAGCGACAACCATCGACTTACATCTTGCTTCAAAACCTGTCTCTCTTCGCTTTTCACCGATGAATCGTCCCTACCTACCTCGTCACCTACCTTATACATATCCACCATCTGCTCCGACGAGTCGGGGGACATTTCCTGCAAAGTCCTTATAGGCTTCGTACTCAGGAAATTCGGCCACAACTTCGACGACAACTGGCAATCACCATCTTCATTGAGGCCACCTCCCTCTCTCTCCCCGTTTTCCGCCTCTCCGTCGTTCATATGTGCAGCATGGTCAGCCTCTGTCTGATGCTCACCTTCATCAACCCCCAAGTCTTCAACCGATGACCTGCCAGCAAATTTCACGCAGTGACAAAACGTCATCCGATTAATTCACAATAACACTTGCATAGCGTCATCTCGATCCACCAAGGCAAGGCTTCATCATGACCCTGCGTTAACTGCATCTCACCAAATCAGCTCACTAATCCCCGTGAATCCATCATCGCACAAGCTGGTACCGATCGCTTCAATTTTCCATGTGTGGCGCAGTCCAAACTTGTGTCACGCAGCAACACACAAGGAAACAAGCGCACGAGGCACAAAACAGGCCACCCAGAAGCAGGCAGTTCTGCAGCACACCCTACCTGTACCACGAAGTGGCATTTTGCATTGCGGGGCATCCCGACGCACGTGGAGCTTGATGTGCACACGTGGGCAGGGCAGGCCACTGTGCAGGTGTCTGAGAAAGAGAGAATAAGGACAACGGGGGGAGGGGGGGAATGCATGTCAACGAGCACGGTGTGTTTGGTTTCTTCACATGAGCGGGGAGTATGTGCACAAGGTCAGCACGAGCGCGGGGGAACGAGAGTAGCACTCTCAAACATTGACCAAGAAGTGTCCAAGTGCAGGTTGTTGTTGTATGGCATCCATCATTCCAAGAATAAGGTCCACCGCCCGCGTGTGTGTGTGTGTGTGGTTGGGGGGTGTTGTGCATCATTCCAAGAAA